CCTGGGGGAAGGCCAGTCTAGAAGAAAAGAGAGTGTAAGGATCCCACTCCTTGCCCCAATCTCGCCTACTCACTGCTTGCCTGCCCACATACCACCATACCTGCTCAGAGTTGCAACCTCTCCTGCGCTTGCCTCCAGGGCTGAGGCCCTCCTCCCCCGAGGGGCCTGAGAGTGCTGCAGGAGGCACAGGCTGCACAACTGGGGGTTCCGCAGCTCGTTTCACTGGAGGACCCCCCCGCTTGGCCCCATAATTCCGCTTGTGCTGAGGACAAAAAGGGGAGAATGGCACAGGTGCAGACCTGGTCCAGCCCTCCTCCACAGCCCACCCAGCCCCAGCCTAACCTCAAGGTGTAGCAAGTTCCACACTTGCTCCAGCGGGGGCAGGACCTTGGCTCGGTGCTGGCAGGAGCCGGCATGAAAGTTCCAGAGCTGGGCCTGGGGAGGTGGGGGAAGGGTACAGGAGACAGAGCAGAAGCAGACATAAGACGAGAGCCCTGAGCCAGAACGCACAATCCTAACCCCCTATGTCCTGCCTCATCTCACCTGCTGTAGTCTGCCGATGCGGGGCCCCAGCTCAGCCAAGCTTCCTCCGTATCGAAGGGCGCTGTGGTAGCAGCGTATGGCCTCTTCACTGTCGTGCTCTGACTCGTACAGCTGCCCAAGCTGTTCCCACAGCCCCGGCTGGGCTGGCTCCCGAAGCAATGCCTGCACACAGCCATGTAGGGATTCCAGCTTCCCATGGAGGGGTCTTGGGGTGGGTGTCCTATAGAGCAGAAGGGATTGCGGGGGTGGTCAGTCTTGGAGGAAATCTTTCAAGGCCCCAGTCTTACCTCCCATTCATTCCCCAGCACCTTTGAATCTTCACTCACCCTGGAGCATAATATGGTTTGTTGGGGTGCCCAGAGCTACTGCCGTGTGAAGGGGGTAGGGGAGCAGAGAGTGGGGGCTGCCCGATGCTGGCAGAGCACCTAGAGAGAGAAGAAGATTGTTAATGTACAGCAAGATGGAGCAGTCTTGTCCCTACCTAGGAAGAAGAGGACTGAGGGAATAAAAGAAAGCAGCTGAGGACTGCACTGAGGCCCACAGAAGGGCAAAGACCCAGAAAATGACAGATTGAGGGGTATACAAGATGGAAAGAGGAATGCCTGGAGACAGAAAGAGAGAGAGAGAAAGAGAGATGGACCAAGTTCTCACCTGCCTCCAGGCAGCCATGCGCTACGAGGAGGGGGATGGGGCGGGCAGGAGCTCCAGGCCCCAGCACAGCTCAAGCCCCCAAGGGCAAAGGCTTCCCGTGCAGCGCGGGCCCCTGGAGGGTCCACTGCCCGATGCATTCAGCCTGACTCAGGGAGAAGAGATTATGATTTTACTGGGGGCAGAGCCTGAGTTGGCAGTGTACATACAGCCAACCCAGCCCCATCTTTCCCTTACCAGGTCAGCAGTGGCCCCAGGAGCCCTGGAGATCGGGCACGGCCCCCTGCCCCAGCTCTCTGGGGTGATGGTCCCGCTCCAGCCGCTCTGACAGGAGTGCCCACTGTCCCCAGATGGCAGCCCAGGGCTTTTCACACCCAATTCTACAGAGCAGAGAAGGAAAAGGAGGGAGGTGAGCTGGCCAGCACACAGTCGGGGCCCGGAGCTGGACTGGCCTGACTGTGGCACCCACAGATCTGTCATCTGCGCAGGGAGCCCGGCCTTGGTTTTCCCTGAGGGGAGGCCCACCCGGCCTAAGGAGCCCCTAGAGGCCCAGGAGAGTGGCTAGGAGCCGCAACGAGCGGCCGGGAGAGGTCTGGCCGCTCGGTGGGACGGGGTGGCTGCGCTGCCGGGCTTGCAGTCGGGACCCACCGGCCGGCAGGCAGCGCAGCGGCCGCTCACCCAGCCTCCGTGGGAGCGTCCTCTCACCGCGTCGGCGAGCTCCAGAGATCCGGCCAATCACAGGACTTCCTCTCTCCCCAGAAAGCCAATCATCACCCGTGTCTCCGCCTCAGTAACAGCCTGGCCGGGACCAATAGGAGCGAGGTTAGCCCGGCCGCTGCCGGCCGGGGGAGGAGGGGCGGCGGAGCCGGTCAGACGGGCTCGGCCCGGGGTGACCCCGATGTGACCCCGCAGCTCCCACCTAGGGTCTCCATCTCCGACCTGACACCCGGGCCGGCGGGGCAAGCGGGGCTGTGACCCTTGCGGGTGAAGGCAGCGAGTCGCACGCTCGGGCCGGCGTGGGGGATGGCGCTACGCGCAAGTCCCACGCACCCACAGAGCCGCCGGTGGTCACAGCTAGATCGCCTGAGACGCCCCCAGCCCCGCAGCCGTAAGACTGACGGACGGCAAACAGATGTACAACGCAAAGGCGTCGCTGCCCTTCCTCACGTCACCTCACCCAGTGCCCGACCTCCCCATCCCGAGTGCCCCTTGAAACTGCTTAGGGCTGGCCAGTCACAGTGACTTCTACGGCACCCAAACACGCCCGCGCTGCGATCTGAGCGCTCCAACCCCACGCTTGACCCCATCCCAAACCACGGTCAAGCCCCCAGCCTCATACCCAGTTCCTTCAGCTCCTCCACTTCCCCTGGCTCTCTAGGTCTTCAACATCAACCGACCCCCAAGAGCAAAACCCCCCTTTAATCCCCCAACTTCTGAGAAGTCGCGCACCGCGGTTCTGAGTGGCCCCTCTCGCGTGGCTCCCGTATCCTCTATGCCCTTCCTCGCCGGGGCCACGCGGTTCCCCACGGCCCACGTGGCCCCCGCCCCCCAAGGGAGGGGGGATTTCGGGGGTTGCCCGTGACGTGGCTACTTGCGCAGCGGAAGCGGCGTGTGTAAATGTACGGGGGGGGGGGTCCTTCGGGAGGGAGGAGGGCGGGGCCCGACAGGCGGTGACATCACCCTTGTCCCACTCTCACCGCCCACTCCCTTAAAGAACCCAGAGCCCGTTTCACTTCCTCCTTCTCAACACCCCCAACCCCTTCCCGTCGGTGCCCACGACGGGCGCAGCGCTCCCCTTCCTGGGCACCTTCCCTTTAGCCCCAGTTCTTCCTTCTCTCCTCTCTGAGCCCAGGATCTCCTCCTCGCCTACCCGGCGTCCCCGCAGATAGGGAGCCGGCTCCGCTCCCAGGATCGGTCCATTGAGAGTCTAGAGTACAAAGAGCTGCAAGAGGCGAGTGTAGAGTACAAAGCGGCGGGGGCGGGGCCAGCGCTCCAGCTGGAGCTTGAGCCGGGCAGGAAGCCGGGGGAGAGCGCGCGATGAGGGGCTGGGGGCGGCTGGAAAGTTCGCCTTCGCTGAGAGAGGTCTGCGCTGTGGGGAAATTTCCACCCAGCCCACAAGGGCAGGCGGGTTTCTGGTGAAAACAGTCCTCCCTCCGCAGGGCAAGGTCGTCTGTTCGCACGCAAGCGCTTGGACCCTACCGGTCCCGGCGTGTCACTTCCCGCCGAGCCCTGGTAGGCGCTTGGGCTCGGCGGACCCTCTCCGCAGTTCAGGCGGACTTTCTGTGAGAACTCTCTCCTCACCGCACAGCCTTTCTCTCAGTTACCAAGCTCTGGGACAAGTACAGCGCTTAACTGCGGTCAAGTATAACCCTGGCCAGCTGCTCTCACCCAAGTCCCGGGACCCACGGACCACACATGGGAAAACAGGGAACCGGGGGTCCACACATCAGATGAACAGATCCCCGCTTGGGACTTGGTACCGAGGGCGCTGCCAGTTACCAGGAAATGCAGCTTCCCCTTCTGCGATGATGACACTTCCCCTCCACCACTTCCCCTTTCCCACGGGGAACTGACTCAGCTTTCCCTAAACCAGCGAGTCCCATCCCTCCAGCCCCTTTCTACCTTTATCCACAAACCGCCACGCCGGTACTCGGAATATAGCTGCCCTCACTCGAGGACAAAAACTTCCTGTACACTAAACACACATTCACTCTCGCCAACCTCCTCGGATCCTCGTGCCCACCCGGGAAGCAGGCGTCTGACTCCTCATCCGCCTCCCGTACAAGGCCCTCCCTCGGGGTCTGATTCAGGATTGGGGAGGGGGAGCATGAGTCACCCAGAAAACCTTCCCCTATTCCCACTGACTCAGCCCCCGCCTCCCTGAACACACACAGACACACAGTCAGAGGCAGACACAACTCAGCCCACACACCGCTCACCACTGGTCCCTCGGAATTTCCCCTCTCGTCTTCCCCCACGACGGCCCCTCCCTGCGCCCGACAGCTCCGACGCCGCGCTCACACCTGTTCCCCGGTCGCCCGCAGCCGGCTCGCGGTCCACTCTCACCTCCACTCTCGCTTTGGGGTAGGAATAGCCCTCCCCGACTCCCGGTGTCCGTACTACCACCAAGGGGAGGGGACAACCACGGACAAGCACAAAGACAGACACCCACAGACTCCTCGAAGACAGATGAGAGGTAGACGCACGCGGCCAAAGCCAGGCTGGGAGGACGCTATACTTCTGGGGCACACATTCCAGCCTCTCCCGCCCGACCCACAGTCCCGGGAGTCAGCCGCTCAGAAAGGGTTAATTCTTCTCCTGACGAGGCCACGCCCTCTCCATCCGGGCACTCCCGGCTAAGCCCAGCTCCGCCCCCTCCATCCGGGCTCCGGACTCGGGGACTTTAACCTACCCCCTCCCCCTGGAGCCCCGAGAGAAACCCACTCCATCAATCACACCCACTTAACTCTCTGGCGGCTTGAAGCCCGAGAAGCCCTTCCGCGCAGCGCTCCAGCCGCGGGGGACGCGTGATAACGGGCCAGACGTGCGCATGCAGACTCACATGCCGGCCCAAGTCGAGACCTCGCAGACAGGGTTTTACCGAGCAAGCAGTCCGCAGGCACGCTGCACGCGCGCAGATGTGGGGCCGGTTTGGGAACCCCGCCGCACCCCACTCCCTGCCAGGCCTCATTCTGCCTTGTGAAAGCGAGGGGTTACGGGCTCGCTTCTTACCTGGGGGAGGGGGAGGCGGAGGGGAGGGCCGCCGGCTGGGGCTCCGCTGTGACTCAGCCACCCGGGCAGGCCGCCCGCTCGGGATTCCCTTCCCCAGCCTTCCCCCGCTGCTGGCCCCTCCCCGCCCCCCACCGAGGAGTGACAGTGCCGGCCCCGGCCCGCTATGTGTCACTGCAAGCCTTGTGTCTGCCTCTGACTGGACCGCTGTGTTCACCAGTCTGTCTGACAAGGTTGGCTGTGTATGGGTCCCACTGTCTGTCTCCGTGTGCACCTGCATATCTGCTCATCTTGTCTCCTTCAGTGCCTGTGTCTGCCGCGTTCCTGTCATTATGCCTGTCTACATGACTCCGAGGGGCTGTCTGTCTGTGTGTCTGCCTGGCTCCTGTCTCGGTCTTTTGTCTGGGTCTGCCTCTGCATCACTTGCGTGATCACGTGTGTCTCTGCACATGCCCTTCTGTGTTTGCCTTCATGTTCCTGAACAGAGTCAGGGAAACACTGGAACAGGATGACCCTGCTGACTCGTCGTGTCAGTCCCCTGAATCTTGATGTCTTGCTGGATCAGCGATCCTTCTGTTTGAGTCAAGTATTTGGGGGTCTGTCTGCCTTCAGTCAAGGTCTGTCCTATTCCTCAACATCCTGGCTTATCCTTACAGCTCCCTGTGGCTCCCATTATGATGATAATTGCTAGCATTTAGTGAAGACTTACTACTTGCCAGGCACTGTGTTAAGCCCTTATTTTTTAAACTCCTCCCCAAAACCAGAGGTAGGAGGTACTTTTATTACCCCATTTTACAGATGAGGAAATTGAGGCTCAAAGAGGTTAGGAAACTTGATCAAGGTCATTCTGCAAGAGAGTGGAAGAGCTGGGCTTCCTTCCAAAGCCTTATTCTTACCACTCTTCTATAATACCTCTATCCTATTCTCCCTCTGTTAGTTTTATCCTCACAGACCATTTCCTGGGTCAGCCTGCCCCTTTGCTCTACTGCAGGTTACCATCCCAAATGTCTCATGTCCTCTAGAGAAGGTGTGGGTAGGAGGCTGGGCAGCAGACCTCAGAAGCCATCGGTTTCTTGGCAATGAAGCTCATTCAGTTAACACATTGATTCAACACAATTCCAATGAGGCACCCCAATGTGCAAACCATCTTGCCAAACAGAGATACAGAGAAGAAAAGAGTCCCACTCAAAAACTGAGTGAGTAGTGCAGAAGAGCGATGCACACTCAGAGAACTTAAGTCCCTGGCTCAGGTATCATCTTTTCTCCTACAGAAGAATGGAGGATGGAGCAGGGCCTCAGGCAGAGAACTAGCAGAAGGAGAAAGGGAAGCAGAAGAAGAGCAAGACTTAGGGTGTGGGGAGCAAATGCTATAGAGCAATGGGGAGAGAATGGAACAGAAAGGGATCTGAAAGGAAAGGTGAGATGCCAAGATTGCCACAGTAAGAGCAGGTGGTTGTGGCAATGGCCTCTAGTATCTCTCCAAATCAATTTCCAATCACCCTTCATGAGCCAGGCTGTTCAACAACTCTTAGGGGGCAAAGACCTCCCCATCCCAAGAAAAATCCCTCCAGGGTATCTCACTTCTACTTCCCAGCTTGTGAACCGTAGCTTAATTCAATTCAATAAACAACTGAGTTGTAGCACTTGGGGAAGAAGATTTTTTGGTGGTAGTGCAGAGGCTGGTGAAGTACAGGGCTGAACCATTGGTAGGCAACAAAGAGGAGCTCCATAAACCAGGAAAGCTGAACCACTCAAGCACCACATGGTGGGGGGACGCTCAGAGTTGGACTGGACCATTCTGAGCAGTGGGCATGATCCAGATCATACCACCCTTCTTAAAGCATGTGGTGCAGAGTTGGACTATTTGGAGGGGGAGTTGCTCAGGGGCAGGACTTACCAGATGGAGTTTGGTGTGCCCTGTCTCATTGGAACCAGTGCCCCAGCAATGGGGTGCAGCAGACCACAGTGGGTGGGGTGGGTGGTACTATGGGGCTGGCATGGTGCCTGGGGGAACCTAAAAGAAAAAAGCCAGTTAGAGGTGGGATCTCCCAAGCTGGAGAATTTTCCAGTGCTCCTATCCCCTTATTGAGGAGAAACCTGGCTCTGGTGGTCAGATGGGATGGGAGAGTCTGTTTCCATGGCAACCAGAAAAAGCCATCCCCAAAGTGGTCCTCCAGCCTTCCCCTTAGGAAGCAGCCTGGACCAGGGGGTAAGAGGAGCACACTATGGCATCTGCATAAGTCCATAGGGGACACCCAACCCATGATCCCTCTTCTGACTGGGCCCTCCTGCTGAGAGTCCCTGGCCCCAGAGTAGCCCCAGCTGCCCCTGACAACTGCAGCCATGTCAGCCTCAATCCTGGCCCCAGGCATACACATCTTCTACCTTCAGCTCTGCCTCCTCCCTACCTTTATCAAGACACTAGTCAACCCCACCCTCTGGACTCTGCCCCCTCCCCTTCCCTCAGGCGGGTGCAGGCAGGTCTTGGCGAGCAGCACAGGTGGCCAGACTAGATGAACGGGCCCAACAGGGAGGAGCCTTCTCCCTCAGCAAGGACTGTGACTCTGGGCCTGAGTATGGAAGTGGCTTCTGCTGCAAGCCTCCCTTCCATCCCACCCCTCAAGGCCATATCCTGTTTCCCCATCACCTCCTTCCTCTGTGTGGCCCAAGAAGGTGATAGAGGCCCACTCCCTCCCTTCCTAACTCTCAGAGACAAGAAGCTAGGTCTTTTAACATAAGGGCCAAGAATCAGGTGTCTATCCAGGGGTCAGATCTAAGTCTGCCCTCACCTCAAACTCATTCCTCAGGGACCTATGTTTTCTGCTCTGTTACCCACAGTTCTGGGCCTTTAAGGACCCAGACATTTGAGCTTCCTCAGAGACTTGGGCTCCCAGTCTAGTCTCTCCATTCCCTGGCCTTCCAGCCCCCATCCTTCCCCCTGCCCCAGAGACTCAGGCCTCTGGCCCCCAGCCTCCATGACGCAATGTGCTGCAAGCTGCCTTGGCTGCTGATGACACTGCCCCCAGAGAGGTGCTATTTCTGACCCATGCAAGGCCCCTCACCAGGCCAGGGTAGAGGTCAGCTGCAGGCCAGGGAGGCCAGGTAAGCAAGGTCCTTCAGCTGGAGAAGGGAGCTTGAGGTTGGAACCCTCCAGGACAGGAATGCTCAGAATGTGGGACCAGGGAGTGTGTGTCTGTGTAGTCTGTAGCATTTGTGTATGTGGTTGTGCTGGGGGGAAGGGGACGCATGGGAGGGTCTAGCCTAGAGAGAGGGGAGTGGCAGGCCTTAGGACCCACCAAGAGGAGGAGTAAGGGGCAGCCAAGGGGGTCAAGCAGGGTGTGTATGGGGTGTCTGGACCCCAGAGTGGGGGAGGGGCCAATAGCCATTTAAAGGGCCAGCCTCAGAGCTTTAATCCCTTACCAGCCCTGGCCCCAAGCCGGAGGCTGTAATTCATCTGTCCAACAGCTGGGGTGGGTGGGTGTTGGGGGGGGGCTTTCTTGTGCACAGAGCCAAACAACAAAAGGGGAAGCTGAAAGGCCAGCTCCAGTGTGCCCAGGCCAAGCTGCTGACCTGCAGACCTGCCAGTGTCCCCCACCTGGTGGCTGACAGACTCCATAGTTTGGACTCAAGGATTCTCGGCCAAGGAGTCCATGAACCCAAAGGTGGGGCCCTGGAGAAGGCCCAGGCTGAGAGCCCCCCAGGCAAGCTGTCACCCCTCCTTGCAAGTCCCAGGCACAGCACCGTCCCAGACCTGGCAGGCCTCTTAGATTCAGCCTCAAATGCCCTGCTAGCCAGCCAAGCCTCCCCAGACATGGCCTGCCGGCTCCCCCTCCCACCAGCACAGGGTGGCAGCAGCCACACCGTGACTGTCCCTTTAAATCATTACCACCCCTGATTGTGTGGACGAACGGAGGGCCCTGCCCCCCAGGCAGGCGGCTTGCCACCTCCCCCCCACGAGTCCCCAGAAATGTGAGGGCCATTTAAAGGGACAACAGAGAGGCAGCCGGGTCTCTAACCACCCCCACCCCCAACCCGCACACACAGCCCCCTTCCCCAGCGACACACAGCCCCTTGCCCCTCCAAAGGGCCCCCCAAATTCCGGTTCTCTCCTCACCCCTAGAGACTGCTAGGAGAAAGGGGGCCAGAGTTGGGGGGGCGGGGAACTGGGGGAGCAAGAAAAGGACAGGGACTCCCTCCTTTCTCACAGCCCCAAGGGACAAGTCAGAAGGAAAGCAAAGCCCGGAGCAGCAGCTAGGCAGAGCCCCGAAAGGTGCCGCGGGCAGACCTGGGGCGCACAGGCTGTCGGGCGATGGGAAGGGAGTCAGGCTGCACGAGACGGCGGCGCGGCTAGCAGGCGACAAGCCCAAGTCGGGGAGATGGAACAAGGAGGGCCAGGGAAGAGGCAAGGCCGGGAGAAAACGGGGAGACGGAACCGGGGAAAGGGGTCATCCGGGAGGGTGTGGAGGAATATCCGAGAGGAGAGGGCGAGCCAGGCCGGGGTTACCTGCTGGGTGTCTGTCCCCCGG